GTTTTGTTTTGTTTTTTTTTTTTTTTTTTTTTGATTAGATTATTCAATCATGTTTTAAAGATCGCATTTGAGAGTTTCTTTCTGATTGAAAAAAAAAGTGAAAAAAAATTTTGTTGTGCTTCTACTCAGAGAAAATTAGGCTTAAACCATGCGACCGCATTTATTATGTAAGATTTCTTAATGAAGATTTTCCAGGGGTTGTTCAATTAGTTTATTATCAATCTATTGTAATCATCTAATTATCCGTAAAATAAAGTTTTATGAATACTTTGAAATAATACCTTTAGTTGATTAAAAATGCAACAAATAAGCAAACCAAATTGCGTTGGATGATAACAATGGAATATCTTAAGTTCTATTGTAGTTAAGTTCAATAAAGTATAATTTTTCCCTGAATATAATCGAAGAGTAAAGAATTAATTTCAAATTTTTTTGGAACCTTCGAAATTGTTAGTTATTGTCAGTAAATTTTCTCCGATAAATTTTTTATAAATTAAAAATTTTCATTGTTCTTTGGCATCATCGAATTTGAATGTGTTTATTTGGAAATAAGTTATGGACATGATCTGTTGACTTGAAATTAAAAGCCTTTAGTTAATGCAAACTTATCCTCCGGGCTTTCATTTTTAATTTTTTAATTTTTCACTGAACCTTTAACATTACGAAATGACATTTCACTTTTAATTAATCACTCTTCCGAAGATTTCTTTCCATTGGGAAATCAATAAATTAATAAATGAATTAATCAATTTAAAGTATGCATTCAAGCTTTTGTCCATTTTTTCAATTCATATTTTGTGATGCTAATCGGGTTTCATTCCTTTTAGTTTTACATTTGATTAGTTCGCTTTGAATTTCAACAAACTGTTGATTTAAGATTTTCTGAAATAATTACTCATTATTTGAATGATGAATTTTATTACCTCTGAAGGTCAAATAGTTAATCAAAAGAAGTGGACTTTAAGTAAATTCATCCTAAATAACAATTTTATTTCAGATTTAATGAAATTAAATCAAATAGCTAGCTGTAAAGCGCATTTATTATCTCAAATTTCTGAATTTTCATTTGCGGCATTGGGACGATACTTAGAGTTTGACATGAAAAGTGCTTTATAGATTGCAAGCATTTCCAAGAGAATGTATAAACTGATTAAAGATAACCACCCTATTGCTTTTCTTTTTTTTTCTTTTTATGATGAGCAATAAGTGTACATTTCCATGAAACCAAATTACATAAATTAAATTTTGGCAGAAAATCTTCCTGGAAAGAATTTAGCTTAAAAAGTATTTGCTAAGTTTAAAGTAATTGTCCTGCGAATCACTTTAAACGATTTGATGAGTGAATGGCAATTTTACAAACTATTCCAAACAAATCCGTAAAATAACAGTTCGAGAAGGTCAAGGAAGGTCACCTTTGATATCAGTTGAAACTTTGATATTTTAAAACACTCAAACAATTGCCAAACAAGTAAACTTAAGTAAAAATTGCAATTAAAGGAAATAAAATTACGATTCCTAACATTAGCAACGCATTAGTATCAGGCAGTTTGTAAATTAAAAGAAAAATTCCTTTGAAATTTTTCGGAGGAATTAAAATAAAATAAAATCAGTAAGTCACAACTTACTTACATAAGAGATTTGCTTGTTCTGGAAATCATTACAGATATTAATTTTTTTTTTGGTTCAAAAAAAATTTTAAAAATTTTAAGCAAATTTAAAGGAAAAAAAATATAAAAGGGATGAAAAATAAAAGAGTTCTTTAAGTATGTTTTTATGGATTATTTATCGAATTTTTAAATAATACGTCACTTTGAAATAAGGCAAAAAAAAAGCTATCAAATTGATGAAGAGAGATATTAGCGGAAAAGAGCAGCTAAAATAATACCCCAAAGAAAATCCCATTTGTTTTGATAACCTAAGAAAAGATGCCAAAAATTTTTCACCAAAATATTACGAGAAAAAGGAAAAAAAAGGAAGAAATGATCAAGATTTAAAGCATATTATAATTTAAATAACTGAAAAGTTATGTAAAAATTTAAATTTTCACAAAATTAAATATTTCAAATGTGATTTCATTTCAAATTTCACATATATATATATATATATAAATTAACAATTGAATAGCAAATTTTTATTGCTAGCATTATTTTCATTATTATTGAGAGCAATGAAAGATTCCAAATGATTGTTGGCAGATATTAAATAAGTTTTAAAACATTAACATTTTCACGGCTCTGTAGATTTTAATAGTAAAACACAAATATTATGGATTATATATATATGGATTTTTTTATGGCCTTCTTTCAAACTATTTTAAGATTAGAAGAGTATAAAGCGACAAATGTCAAATAGGGTGAAAAAGATGTCCTCTCCCTTAGGTCCCATAAATTTCTTTCCCTTTTTTTTTTTTTCTCAATAGACTTCAACTGATTGTAAGGAAAAGCTTTTTTAATGTCACATTTCAATTAATTGCTGCGACAATCAATACGGCGTAATAACATTTGCATCATTAAAGTTATGTTTTAGACGTTATCACAAACTGCCCTTCGTAATACATTATATCATAAATCCTTAACAAAAGTCATTTTACTATATGTAAGATTCACGTGAAGATTCACAATTGCATAAAAGTTCTCTTTTACGCAAAGCCATTATGTGTCATCTGTAATATCATTGTGCTTATTAACTTAATTAAAGTGAAATATTTGTAGTTTATAACATTTTTACTTCAAAATTTTAATTCAATAAATTTTGACAGAAAAGTCTTATCAAGTTATCAGGAAAATATAAACTTACGTATGAGACTGACCCTGGTGCCCGAGCCATTCATCAGAAAAACGACGTGGAGGACTTTTCAGCTTAATGAGTAGTTGATGGTAGAAATAATCTGAAGTAATTCAAATGAATAAAATTTTCCAAAATGATGAAAATGTTCAAATATATCATATAAAATGTTTAAATTCCACCGATTCCATTTTTTCGTTGCGTTATGGAATAAGAAAATATTTGCGAATCGTAAACAACCATAAAATTAATTTTACGGAAATTTTGATTGCTTAAGCTAAAGATCATTTTTAACATCTTTATTGGAATTAAAGTTAAAAATAAAAGTTCATTCCGGCCGCTTTTGTTTTTAACAATACTGTAAAACAACAGGAACATTAAAAGGCACATTCCTGTTTATAGTTTAAAATATACCTCAATGGATAAAATAACAAAATTTACATAATGCATTTAACATTTGCATAATATTACTTAACATTCACATAATGTAATTAACCATCATGGAGTAAATCAAGAATTGATTAATGCTGCTAAACATCGCAAAATGTTTAAAATGGCACATTTTAAATTAGAGTTGATTGCATGAGGAAATAATAAATCATTTTAAAAAATTAAACTTTTCCAAAAGTGTTTGAAAATTAAATTTGTTCATTTATAAAGAAATTCAAATCAAAAGCATCAAATTACTGTGAGCATTACAGCCTAATTAGCTTCATTTATTAAAATTCTGATAGAACTGAGATATCGTGGTCTAACATTTCGAGTATAAAATTATGCAGGAAAGTCAAATTAATTTACAATACTGAATTTTTTAGTGAGGTATAAAATTATAAAATTTGCATATAAAACATTTCTGAATGTAATACAAAACATAATTAAAATTCTTGGCAAGAGCGAGAAAAAAACAGTCAGAAAAACTGTCATGAAAAATTTGAATTAATTGGACAATAGATTGGGTAAATTTCAATATATTTGTCATCAAACTATTTGTAAGTACGATGTTGAAATGCTTCAATAAATAAAT